CCACCACCACCACTACTACTACTACAACCACAACCACCACCAGCATCACCAGCATTACGAAGGAGGAGGAATTGGAGGAGGAAGCAGCAGCAACCATGGGGCCAATGGGAATGAGAGGAAGGCCCCTTTGGCCCCACAGAGGAACCCCAAACACGACCCCAGGAACGGGGGGACAGTGGGGAGCTTTGGGGGGAACCCCCAAGCCGCCCAGGAGCCGACCCGAAGGAGAACAGGTGGGTTTTCCGCGGGGGAGTAAACCGTGCGTAAAAAGGCACCTCTCCAAAAAGGGACCCCTCTCCGAAGGAGAGGGGTCCCTTTTTGGAGAGGTGCCTTTTTACGCACGGTTTTTGGGGTACTTAACAACACCCCATCGAAACGATTTTTAGGGTGTTTATACATAAAACGATGGGGAACACGATCCCGTTGGAATGGGGTCGCTAGGGTGAACACGCGAGGCGTGGGAACGTCGGGAAGAGGGTCCCCCTATCCCCCTCTCCATTTTTTTCCCTCTTTTGCGCCTTGGCTAGGCGCGGCCAAGGCGCACAGGAAAAGGTGGTTGTGGGGGGGAAAATACCGTCTTTTGGGGGGTCTGGAAAGGGAAAGGCGCCCCCTATGGGTACAAGGGACTCTTGGGGGGTGGTCTAAAGGATGGGGTGCCCGCTTTGGGGTCGGGAAAGGGGTGCAAAGCCAGGCCCAAAAGGCGCCTCTCCACGCGCCTTCCCAAGTCTCGCCCCACCCAAAGGGAAGCACAAGGGAAGAGGAATGGTATTTTTGGGGGAGGGTGGATTTGAAATATTTTTGGGGGGGTCTTTAGGTTTTCTATGGATGGAGGGAAGGTTTTGGGGTACCCTAATTAAGGGGGAAAGAGGGGAAATAGAGCCAAAGGCGAAGGAAGGGAGCCAGGGAAAGGGGAGACCCTTCCACAACACCCCATATTTTTGAATAACTTATTGCTTTTCCAGAGGAAGATCAAGTCTGGGTTTTTGGGGGGATACTTCAACAGCACCCCCATATTTTGGGGGGGGGGACACTGTTGCAGTTTCAAGGCCAAGGAAGAGAGACAGGGAAAGGGGGGACCCTTCCACAACACCCCATATTTTTGGACAACTTATTGCATTTCTAGAGGAAGTCAAGTCTGGTTTTTTGGGGGGATACTTCAACAGCACCCCCATATTTTGGGAGGACCCTGTTACTGTTTAAAGGCCAAGGAAGAGAGCCAGGGAAAGGGGAGATGGATCAACATCACCCCATATTTTTATATAACTTACTGCCTTTCCTGAGCTTTAAGTCTGGGTTTTTTGGGGGGTGAACCTTCAATAGCACCCCCATATTTTAGGAAGACCCTGTTACTGTTTAAAGGCCAGGGAAAGAGGAGACCCGTCAACAAAACCCCATATTTTTTGATAACTTATTGCTTTTCTAGAGATAACATCAAGTCTGGTTTGGGGGGGGTGATCCTTCAACAGCACCCCCATATTTTTGGATAACTTGATTGCCTTTCCTGATCTTCAGATCTGGGTTTTTTGAGGGGTGATCCTTCAACAGCACTCCATATTTAAGGAGGATCCTGCTACTGTTTAAAGGCCAAGGAAGAGAGACAGGGAAAGGGGAGACCCCTCAACAACACCCCATATTTTTGGATAACTTATTGCTTTTCCAGAAAGAAGATCAAATTTGGTTTTCTGGGGGAAGATCCCTCAACAGCACCCCCATATTTTTGGATAACTTGATTGCCTTTCCTGAGTTTCAAGTCTGGGTTTTTGGGGGCCTGATCCTTCAACAGCACCCCCATATTTTGGGAAGATTCTGTTGCTGTTTCAAGACGAAGGAAGAGAGCCAGGGAAAGGGGAGGCCCTTCCACAACACCCCATATTTTTGGATAACCTCTATTGCCTATCCTGAGCTTCAACTCTGGTTTTTTGTGGGGTGATCCTTCAACAACACCCCCATATTTTGGGAGGACTGCTGTTTGAAGGCGAAAGAAGAAAGCCAGGGAAAGGGGAGACTCTTCAACAACACCCCATATTTTTGGATAACTTAATTGCCTTTCCAGAGCTTTAAGTCTCTGTTTTTTTGGGGGGGGGAATCCTTCAACAGCACCCCCATATTTTGAGAGGACATTGTTGCTGTTTTGCATTTCTTTAAGGGATGGATTCTAACACTTTTAGAGTGTCCCCTATTTTTTGGGAACCTTCCCAATGGAAAGAGAAGTTTTCTTGGGTACCCCCCCCCCAAAAGGACTTTCAATGGGTCCCCGTTTCTCTTGGGACCCCGCCTTTTTCTTAACTTTCCAAAGAGACTCTCAAGGGTCCCCCTTTTTGTCTGTGTACCTTCCAAATGGGAAAAGGGGACTTTTAGAGGTCCCCCTTCTTGGGAATCTCTCCAAAGAGATAGGATTTCTTCCTTTCAAGGGGTCCCCCCACTTTTCTGTGTACCTTCCAGATGAGGGGAAAAGGGACTTTGGGTGGAGTGATTATAGGGTTCTTTCCCCTATATGCAGGATGGTTTGGGGCTCCCCCCCCCCCCCTGAGTATCTTTGAGGCTTTTAATAGGGTTTCTATAGAGTTATCTCCCTTGTTTGTGGGGTACTTTTGGGGTTCCCCCCTTTGAGTATCTTTGAGGCTCTTTCATGGAATGATCATAGGGTTCTTTCCCCTAATTGTGGGATAGTTTTGGGGTCCCCTCTTTGAGTATGTTTGGCACTATTTGATGGGGCTTCTATGGGGTTATTTCCCTTATTTGTGGGGTAGTTTTGGGGTCCCCCCTTTGAGTATCTTTGGGACTTTTAATCGGGTTTCTATGGGATGGTTGTGAAGTTCTTTCCCCCTTTCTTTGGGGTAGTTTGGGGGTCCCCCCTTTGAGTATATTTGGGACTATTTCATGGGGCTTCTATGGGGTTATTTCTCCTGTTTGTAGTGTAGTTTTCAGGTCCCCCCTTTGAGTATCTTTGAGGCTCTTCTATTGAGTGATTATAGGGTTCCTTCCCCTATTTGTGGGGTCATTTTGGGATCCCCCCTTTGAGTATCTTTGTAGCTTTTAATGGGGTTTCTGTGGGGTGGTTGTGAGGTGCTTTCCCTCTTTCTTTGGAGTAATTTTGGGGTCCCCCTTTGAGTATCTTTGGGACTATTTAATGGGGCTTCTATGGGGGTGCTTTCCTGCATTTCTGGAGTAGTTTTGGGGTCCCCCCTTTGAGTATCTTTTGGACTCTTTAATGGGGCTTCTATGGGGTGCTTTCCCCTATTTGTGGAATAGTTTTGGGATCCCCCCTTTAAGTATCTTTGGAACTATTTAATGGAGTTTCTATGGGGTGATTGTGATGTTCTTTCCCTCTTTCTTTGGAGTAATTTTGGGGTCCCCATTTGAGTATCTTAGGGACTATTTAATGGGGATTCAATGGGGTGCTTTCCCCTATTTGTGGAGTAGTTTTGGGGTCCCCCTTTGAGTATCTTTGGTATTTTTAATCCGGTTTCTATGGGGTGATTGTGAGGTTCTTTCCCTTATTTGTGGGGTAGTTTTGGGGTCCCCCCTTTGAGTATAATTGGAACTTTTTATGGGGTTTCTATAAAGTTATCTCTCTCGTTTGTGGAGTAGTTTTGGGGTACCCCCTTTGAGTATAATTGGGACCATATAATGGGGCTTTTATGGGGTTCTTTCCCCTATTTGTGGGATAGCTTTGGGGTCCCCCTTTTTCTTGGGAATCTCTTCCTTGTGGCATTGCTTGCAGCCTTGCGAGAGTCCGCCCCAAATGGGAAAGATTTGGCACCCCAAAATAGGAGACATTGGGCTAGGAAATTCATTATTATTATTATTAAAACTTATGAAGCATTGGGGGGTTCCTATTAGGCATTTTGTGTTGGGAAATCGAGGCTCTTTAGGGTGACCCCAATATTTTGAGACAGAGAGATAAAATTGGGGATATATATATATAATATTCATCTCTCTTATATTCTTTGGAGGGTCTAAAGCCTTTTTAAAGGGATCCCAAATTGGGAGCCTTCAGCTTCAGTCGGGGAGGGCGGCCTAGCCGGCATGACCTTCCTCCTTTCCCAGCCGCCGCTGAGCCGCCATGTTGGGCGGGCGGGCCAACTACGCGAGGCCCCGGCTTGGTTGGGCCTTGCTAGGCCGCGCGCCCTTCTCCCTTTTTTTGCGGGGGAAGAAAGAGAAAGTCTTTTTTATTTTTTAGGGGGTTGTATAGCAAAGTGAAGGGGGTGTTTTGGGGTGTCGTTCTCTTGGGTATCTTTAGGGCTCTTTCATGGGGTTTCTATGGGATTTTTCCCCCTTCTGTGGGGTAGTTTTGGGGTCCCCCCTTTGAGTATATTTAGGGCTATTTAACGGGGCTTCTATGGGGTTATTTGTGGGGTAGTCTTGGGGTCCCCCCTTTGAGTATTTTGGGACTTTTAATGAGGTTTCTATGGGGTGCTTCCCCCTATTTCTGGAGTAGTTTTGGGGTCCCCCCTTTGAGTATATTTGGTGTTATTTAATGGGGTTTCTATGGGGTGCTTTCCCCTGTTTGTAGGGTAGTTCTGGGGTCCCCCTTTGAGTATCTTTGGGGCTATTTAATGGGGCTTCTATGGGGTTATTTGTGGGGTAGTTTTGGGGTCCCCCCCTTTGAGTATCTTTGGGACTTTTAGTGGTGTTTCTATGGGGTGGTTGTGAGGTTCTTCCCCCCCTTTCTTTGAGATAGTTTGGGGTCCCCCTTTAAGTATCTTTGGGGCTATTTAATGGGGTTCTATGGGGTTATTTCTCCTGTTAGTAGGGTAGTTTTGGGGTCCCCCCTTTGAGTATATTTGGTGTTATTTAATGGGGCTTCTATGGGGTGATTTCCCCTATTTCTGGAGTAGTTTTGGGGTCCCCCCCCCTTTGAGTATATTTGGGGCTATTTAACTGGGCTTCTATTGGGGTTATTTCTCCTGTTTGTAGGGTAGTTTTGGGGTCCCCCCTTTGAGTCTCTTTGGAGCTTTTAATGGGGTTTCTGTGGGGTGATTGAAAGGTTCTTTTCCCCATTCTTTGGAGTAATTTTGGGGTCCTCCCTTTGAGTATATTTGGGGCTTTTTAATGGGGCTTCTATAGGGTTATTTCTCCTGTTTGTAGGGTAGTTTTGGGGTGTGTCCCCCTTTGAGTATCTGAGTTTCTTCCATTGAGTGATTATAGGGTTCCTTCCCCTATTTGTGGGGTCATTTTGGGGTCCCCCCTTTGAGTATCTTTGTAGCTTTTAATGGGGTTTCTGTGGGGT